GAATTGAGGGGTGGGGGTGGGGGTGGGGGGGGATGGTCTGTTTGGGTGCTGAAGGCTTTTCCAGCCATATGCAAGTGAGCTTACGTGTGGACATTATTTCATGAAACCATGACTCTGGGTGGTTTGATAAACAGTGACTTCTACGCCATGTCGTTTGGTTGCCACAGTGTGAAAATTTTGCATAGAATTGACATCAACTGCAAGACTCCAATGTGTTAATTCATTCAGTTTGCTGTTTAATGGTCTGCTCTCTTAACATTGTGGGCCAGTCTCTTGGGGTAAAATGGAGGAAAATCATAATTAAATAGCACCGCATCGGCCCCAAAAGATGCCGGCCCGCTGGGCATCTGCCTTGGATGCCAGATGGCCAGTCCAGCTCTGCCGTGGAGTCGGACATTGTTGCATGGGTTACGTGATGTTGCCCTCGCTGTGCGTGGGAGCAGCTCGAGATAGTATAAGAACAGGAACCATTTTGAACAGATTCTGAACACAGTGCTCTGATCGGAGATCAACACAGGAGGAAAGGAAAGGCTCTACACTATGTCATCCTCTGACAGACAGTTCTTTCAAAATGAGCCACTCATTACTGAGCATTAGCTCTGTTATTAGACTGCATTAGGGCTGAAAGAGGGTCTTGAGGATTAGTTTGGTCTGCTACCAGCTGGAGATATTCTTTAAACTGGACTGACTGAGGTGGGCTGTCTGTAAAAAAAAAATCAAACAATTACATAAGATATAAAGGAAAACAATACAATTTCAAAAAGAAAATTTCTCTTCGGTATGCATTTTGAGACGATTGAAATCAGGCCATGACGTGAATGGCAAGCTTACAATACAGTAGTTTGGGATTTTTTTTTCTTGTAGTTAGTTTTTATTTAATTATAACTCGTTTTAAATTAAGTTAGTTTTAGAGCAGGTTTGTTCGCTATCCTTTTTTTTAATTTCTTGAAACTGCTACGCTATGAGTTTTAGTATTAGTATTTGTATCGATGTCACATGACCAAACGTGTTTGGTCATTACATGGAGCCCCTGAGCAATTGTGACGTCATTTTCAGGCGACAGCAAGAGACAAAATGGCCGCCGAAGGTGATGGATAGGAACAGGTGGATTTTGCTTCTTAATTCTTATTCCGCAAACATAATATTCATCACTATAGTGTGTTAGGGCTGGTGGGGGTCTCATATTATTATTGTCAAGAAAAAATTTGACTTGACTTTCCCTTTTACCAGGGGTGGGGGATGAACGCTAACACAACACATAACTACAATACTTGTGGCCATTTATTTTATACACGCCAATGAGTGAAGAGTAACAATCATAACCAGCCCCAAATAACACAATGCTCTCGAACTGGAGTCTGTTTCTCAGGAGTTATGTTTATTTCAAAAACGACCTTGACACAAAGGCTATTATTGTAGTGTTTTCATTTGTTTGCTCTCTTAATGATTTCATTTGTATGCGCCGCACGGTTGTCAACTGCCACGGCGCTCTCTTTAATTGACGCGCATACTTTCGGAGACTCGTTATTTATTTAAAGGCCCAAACTCTCCAAGCACAACTTAAGTCTTACGTAATTGTGAAGAAAAGAGGGCCCGCCTCCTGACATTTGGCAGAAATCGTTTGCTGCTGCCTGTGTCTTCCAAGGCGCGTTCCCGCCTGTTGGTTTGACGCGGACGCGCGCACCCCAGCCCCTGTTTGAGTGTGAAGTCACCCGCAGCTCGGGAAGCTTTTCGGCTAGACATGGCGGCGGATCCTAAACCGGACTGGCTCTCCTGTCTTCCGCCTTCTTGGAGTTACGGTGTCACCCAGGATGGACGTATATTCTTCATCAAGTAAATATCGTGTGGATACGAGGATTTATAGATGCTCCTGGTTATTCAGTCGTCTCGGTTTTTTTTTCCCCGGCGCTCTCATCACCCTTTCCCCTCCGTTTTCTTCTGTTAACAGCGAAGAAGCCAAGAGTACAACCTGGTTGCAGCCCGTTACCGGAGAGGCTGTAATAACTGGGCACAGAAAAACTCCGGGTAAGTCATTGTTTTCCCACTGTCTCCCGATAAAACACGAGCTCGTGATGGCTACTAGCGAAGAGGAGAAGTTGAGTGAATGCCGTGAAGCGGGTAACGTAGGCGTTGTGGCAAAGTCAAATGCACATCTGTAGGGTAATGAGGCGAACAGCTGGATATTATGCAGGGCCGGAAAAAAAAACAAAAAACGATGGAGGAATCGGGATGGTGGGTGCCGAATTGTGGAAACACATGCACGCCAAATGAGCTCTTTATCGCCCAGACGCTGCATCACATGGGAGTGTGTGTTGGTATGTATGTGTGTGTGAGATCACATCTCCCTGCACAGCTGTAACGCTCGTCTGCCGTATCTCCCCCTTGCTGCCCTTTACAGATTTACCAACAGGATGGGAGGAAGGCTACACATTTGAGGGCGCTCGCTGCTTCATCAAGTAAGTTGGGATTCCCAAGAATGATGAGTGAGGCAGATATGTATCGGCCGCTCGTTGCAGTGGCCATCTTCAGGCGGCGAGGAGCTGCTTTGTTGAGTAGGCAAGGCAGAGATTTCCCTCCTGTCTTTGCCGCCCACCAAGCTCCCTCGCTGCCCTGCTGGCGGAATACACGACTGTTTGTCTCTCTTGTAACACGACAGTCCCTGTGAATGAACACGGTCTTCTCTTTGTCTGCTGATCTTGAAGGCTGTCCGCGGTTGTCCTCTTGATACGTACGTAAAAAATATGTACCATAGTTCCTCAATACATCTTCCTTCCACAGCCAATGTACCGGACTTAAGGCAAATAGATGCTAACGTTTTCAAATAGATGCTAAAAAAAGGAATAATTTTGCATTCTCGGTCTGTAGATGCTCTTGTTTATGGAAGCGTGGAACTGCTAATGTGGAGTCGATATTTTTGACTGGGTCATGTCGTTCGAACGTACTGCAAAGTCATCAGTCGGTGACTGAGGAGACAGCGTTAAAGTGCACAAAATGCACACTCACGAACAAAAACAAATCATTGATGGGGCAGAAGACGTCACGTACACGACAACAGCAATGGATCAAAATTCCTTTTGTTGAGACGTGTGCCTACTTGAGCCTCAGGTGACAGGACACCATTTTTGATCAGCACCCATTAAGTGTTTTTGGCTAGTTTTGGAAATCCACTTCTTGTCCAATAGGGTGAGTCGCCTGCACTGTCAGTTAGACCCATGTTTGTCAAGTGAGTGTGAGTCAGATCTTCGGTTGAGCTGAACAGGCTCTACTTGTTGGTGTGCTGTGTTTGCGCAAACGTCTTCGTGCTTCCTTACTGGCCTCATTCGAGTGTCCCATGAGTATTTACATGTATATTTATTGGACCTGTTTGACAGCAAAATTACCTCTCTCTCTTTCGGAATGGTTCATTTGTTCGCAGACTTTCCTGGCTAGTTTTGCTGCGTGTGATCTGTGGCCATTTTGAGAACAGCAGCTGACACATATGGTGAGCGAATATAGTTGCTCTAAAAATAGCACAAAATCGCTGCTCGTCGGTATGTATAAATGCACGTTGACTGCACAAAGGCATGCGTGCACACGGACAGGTAAATACACTGTGCAGCATGTAACCAAAAAAAAAAAAAAAAGTGACATCACTTTCAGTATGTGATAGGCTGCGAATGCCCGTGTGGGAATAGAACCTGTCGAGCAAAATGTCCGTCTCAGCAAATGTGTGGGATCTGTTTTTGCTCTTGAGAGTTTTGCCGTTAAGTTTCGGCAAGACTGGCACCACTGCGACTTGTTTCGCATTCAGGCGTCAGCTTGAAGTGCTTTGGCGATAAGCAAAGTCTTTGTTGTACAATTCGAACGCAGCCGTATTCTCCAGACGTCAATTGGACACTTTTGTCGAAAAGAAACATGACGCGACTCAAGGCGTCGAGCGCCTCGGCGTTATCGGCGTGTCAAAGATAAGGGCACCGTGAAAAGTTTGGTGTCACCTGCTGTGGGGAAATAGAAACGTGCTTGAATGCATTTTTATTTATTTATTCATTTTTTTGTCCCCCCAAAACAGTTTTCTGAAGAATGAACTGAAACTTTGAACAGAATGCGTCGGATGGGGCTTGTTTAGGATTGTTTGGCCTTGGGGTGAGGCTGAGCGCACCGAGTGGTATTCAAATGATTTTCTTATTTTGTTAGCACATTCAGCAGACATCGTCGAGACACAGTAAATTCCCGTTGAATCCAAAAGTTTGTGTTTGATTTGTCAAATCCTGATCCTGATGACAAAAACGTGCCCGAGGCTGTGCCAATCTGGAAAGTAGTGATAACTCGCCGGGAGGATACATTTCGCATTCGGTTTCTTGTTGACTTAGTGCATGTTGTCTTTCCCAAGGTCGTTCGCGGCAAACTGTTTTGGCCGCCAAGATTTCTTTTTAAGCGCTTGCTACTTGTTTGAAGCTCTGCGCGGCTAAATTATTTCTCTCGACCTCAAGCGCCTACAAGAGTGGTTTTATGCGCTGCAGTTCTGGTACGCTGGACAAGTTGTAGCGAACCGATGTTGCGTGGCTCTTCAAGCAACGGACACGCAACACAACTGCAGGGTTGCTTATTGCTAAAGTACAATAACAAAACAACATAAAAATCTCAAGGGGGAGGGAACGCTTTCCAAAAATGGATTGTAATGACCCTGATACCAACCTTGTGAGCAAGATGCTCGCGAGGGTTGTAAATTCCCAACGTCTGCGAGGCAGTGAAGGTGTCTCGAGTGTGATTTGTGATGAGACGAGTGAGTCCAAGGGTGAGGTGACTGGAAACAGGAAGAGGAGTTGGATGTTTCTTTTGGCCTTCCGCGACAAGCTGGGGGTAACCCATCCGGCCCGTTGGATATCTTTTTTTTGCACACGGTGCGGAGGTGTCAATTTTGCCACATTCGAATTGCGTACGGGCGAAAACAGACACGGTGGCCGAAAACGGGTTGAACTGACACATCGTTTGGGAGGACTGTAAATGTGTGTGGGTGTGTGGCAGCTACTGAATACTTTGGGAGTCTTGCAAAATAAACAGAGTAACACTAATGTAGTCTCTTTGTCCCCCGTGTCAGAGAAACAATGGCGGTGCTTTCACTGCAGAAGCAGCAGCTGATTCCGGCACACTATGTACAGATCAGCGAATCAACAACTCATTAGAGCAACGCACAGCCCCCCTCCGCCCCCCATGCCCGCGGGGTACATTTCATTTGTGAGGTGTGCCAGGAGAAGGACTAAAGTGTTTGCAGATTTTCTTGTGGAACGTGTCCATCTGTCTGTTTCCAGGCAAGGCATGACAGCTTTATCTGTACGGTGAATTTCAAACACAAGCTAACTCAATGTGCTTCACATCAATAAAAGTATGTAGTATTAAAAAAAAGAAACGGCATGGAGCACTGCTTGCTGTTAACAGCCTCCGCAGAACCCGTCGAGAAACATCGAGCAAACGAGGCCTTTCAATGAGCCGGAAGGCTTCAGCCCTCGAAAATAAAACGCTCCTCGCCACCCACCTTTCACCAATACACGGCGCTAACCGCGTATTGAAAGTGCCGTCGCCGTATAAGAAAAGCAACGACAGTCACATTGGCCACAGTGCCGTGACACCCCCTCCAACCTCCCACGAAGGAAACCAAAAGCCGGGAGACTTCATAAATTAACATATCAAGTCTTGTGAGGCGTTATGTGCCGGCGCGTCTGTGTCACACACGCTCTGCACACTTAGATCAATTTCGGGGCTGAGGCTATCGAGTATTTTGGTATTCGGATAGCCTGCTGAAAATTCTCTCGAATCATCTGTGCGTCCCTCTCATGCAGATTTTAACGCGTGACTGCAGTCGTCCCACTGATTGATGAAGTTGGCTCGTCAAGCTTTGGAGATTAATTTAGGTTTAAAAAAAAAAAAAAAATCCCATGGAAGGGGAATCTTTGCCAGTGTTAATGCAGTACAACAGAGCGGTACGGCTGTAAATCCTTAAAGCCACACTCTGCGGGGATTACGTTCATTTATTTATTTGTTTTTTTATTGAATCTGTTTGAGAGATTGATAGCATTGATTTATTTCAATGGCAGTTTTGGAGGCTGTACTTAAAGCAAACGTGTTACAAAAATGTCAAACACCTCGTATACTTGACCCGTCGAGGTGTTGGTGACATCTCAGTCCCTCATGGGTGGGTGTGTCTGATACATACTTCTTCTTATTTTTTTTTCCTTCTCCCATCAAATAGTTTTAAATGGGTCATGGGCTAGGTGGGGCAGATCTTCTCCAGAAATGAATTCCCGTAAAATCTACGCAGACCAAAACGCTCAAGCGCGCACATGTTGTTTGAGTCTCGCATTCGAACCGAGAGCCGCTGATTGTGGGTTTGGCTCATTCTTAGAATGTAACACCTGCCAGATTTTGGCAAGAGATTTTTTTTTTTGTTTTTTATGAGAGTCGCAACAAACATCAGCGTATGTTCGAAGGGACATCAAATGCAGATGTCCACTCGCCGCCTCGCCAATCCCTTCGGAACCGATCAGGGAAGAGAGCCCCGTTGCTGAGTAAGCTTCTCTCCGCTCAGCGTGCCAAATTGAAGCATATTACCGCGCTGTACGTACCAAGTGTCGGCGGCCAATGAGTCGTGCGATTCACATTAGTTCTCGCAGCTACGAGCTGCTTTCTTCATCAGTGCACGAGCTGCTAATCATTTCTGTTGGGCGGCGGCGCCCAAGGCAGCTAGAGTCATACAGAAGTTAGCGGTGCGTCACGCCGCCGTAACAAGGCGGCCCTTGTCAACATCGTAGGCTGCAGCACGAAAACGACATGACCAAAAAGATGCAATACAGCAGCGTGGAAATAAGGACAGCGCACCCACAATGGATGTGACGCCGCCAAGTCCTCAAAGTCTTGGTTTATGCGGTCTTGAAATTACTGTCACGAGTGATGTCAGTGGTCTTGTGGTGAGCTCGAAAAAAAACGAATTGGTAATGGCTGTGATCCTACAGTATTTTTCTTTTTTTTTTGGTCCCAAATCCAAAACTTACTGTTTGTTCTCATCTCGTCTCGGGAGCAGACGACAAGCAGGGTAAATGGGAGCTTCCTTCTTTCCTCGCCCGACTTCGCCGAACGAATAGATAATCTACTACTGAGGCTGGCCAGGATTACAATGATCAAGGGGATCTGTTCCAGGCTCTGCCAAGTTTCGGAAATTCTCTTGATCCAGTCCAGCGGCTGATTTGGTGTTTGCAGTGTGTTAACGTTTTCAATCTGGTTTTGAAGAGTTGAGCTCAATGCCCGCAAATCCGTTTGGCATTGTGTGTATGCGCGTGTGTGTATTTGTACATGTGAGCCTGCAAGCAGAAACAAACAAATGGACAACATGAATAGGATTTTGTGGTGATCCTTCTCTGGAATCAATAGGAGGCTTAGACTTGGGTTTATGATTATGGATTTAAAAGCAGCAGATGGAAGCACA